TTTTATGATATATTAAATTATATTTTTTTTTAAAGACTCTGAGTAAAACATGAATAACTAAATAATCTTAAAACTCCCAATATAAATGGTTTTATATGGTGGAACGTTGCTTGGAATGCCCCACATAGTTAACTATATAATATAACAGTTAACTTTATAATTCAATATATAATAATATTGATGCTTTGCGCAATGACCCCCTATAACTCAATTATGACTTTAAATTTATCTTGACGATAAGATGAATCGTGGCGATAAGACAGTTTTGTCTTAAATTAATTTAACATTAAAGCAGATTAAAAATAATAGACTTATCCATAAACGACACGTACACGTCTGTATACACATCAAGGTCTAAGAAATACGATAAATACGATGTGATCCACGGTCTCGAAAAGAAGTTTGGCAGACGGTGGGGGGTCGGTGGGGGGTCACGAAAAAATGCGCGGGGGCTGTGGGGGTATGTGAGGGGTCTGTGGGGGGCAGTGGGGGGTTTCGGAAAAAACTGCGATATGTCAAAATCAGGGAAAAAATGACAGGTTTTTACTTTATTTTGCGGGAGGACGGTGGGGGGTGAATGGGGGGCTGTATGGGGGTTGTGTGGAATGCCCCACCGAGATAACTATATAATATAGGAAGATATATATAGACTTATATGCTTATAGTGTAGACGAAAGTAGGCGATTACTGGGCGAAAGTCATATAAAATCAGGCTAAGCCGCGCCCAACTCAGCGCCCCATTACAAATCCACCTTCGGCCAAGCTTGGTTGCTTGATTTGGACCATGCGTTTAAGCTGGGCTGCCCACTTTTAATTTCTACTCCGGTGTGTTGGGGGTATGAAATGAGGGCTGCACAGTGTATGCACGGAGCTAATAGGTGTACTGTACATACAGACTTTGGCGTGCCATAACTTTTTTCATTTGTATTGTTTCGAATGAAAAGTTGCTTGCGTACCGGGGTACACTTGCACCATTTTGAACGAGTCCTAAAAATATACCTTCGTGGGACTGATGATAGGATCACCTGTATATCTTACACTGTGTCATGGACCAGTCGCAAAAAACGCACGTAGACGTAGTACACACATACGTATAGTTTGTGGTCACACTAGATCGCAGGCTATGATCAGAGTCTGGCCAGGGCAAAGACGTGTTATATAGGATAGACCGGGCACGCTTCTGGAGGCGGCTAAATCGCACACCGAGAGAGACAGCAATAGGATTGGAAGAGTATCTTTTTCTCTCTAGGGTAACATGGAGGGAAAGGTACCTTCCTTTACCTCTCTGACCTTTTCCCTGATCACCTTTTCCCTCCATGTCACTCTAGAGAGAGAAAGATACTTTTTCAACCCTATAGCTGTCTCTTTCAGTGTGCGATTTAGCCGCTCTCAGAAGCGTGCCCGGTCAATCTTATATAACATCTTTGAGCCAGGGTATGTGTATATATGTATAACAATATATCAACATACATGACGTCACATCGACATCAGTATGACGTCATTTACAACGTCGCTAAAGGTGTATCTTACGAAGTCCCCTGTGGCTAAGATTGGATGCTTGATTTGAACTATGTGTTTAAGCTGGGCTGTCCCATAGACATATAAAAAATAGATTGCTCGTTCTTATGTACGGCGCTGAAGCACAAGTAGAAAGAGACACTATGTCGAACGTGTTTATCCGTCTCTCTGGCACGTTGCCAACGCCGCGGACTAGGAGGTTGTGTCAGCTGGCCTTAGTTTACTGACCCCACTGTTAGCAACGTGCAAGAGAGACAGATACACACGTTCGATGTTGTGTCTCTTTCTACCTGTGCTTCAGCGCCGTACATAAACATGAGTCTATTTCTTACGTGTCTATGGGCTGCCCACTTTTAATTTCCACCTGGGCAGTGGCTGATTAGGATTGTGTGCGTGTTGCTCCTGAATATGGCAGAGATAATCAGGAGAAGGCGATAAGCTCCTGCATCTGCCACACTGCACTTGATACACCAAGAACTAAGACCGGAGGGTGGTCAAAATCTTTACCAGCCGCCACTCTTATTAGAATAGGGGAACCTTAGGATTCGTAAAGTTGCGGCTAGTTTATAAAATAGACCATATAACCTTCTTAAATACCGATAAAACTCTTCACCAGAATAAAATATGATTAAAAAATTCTGGATCTCCACGAATCATAAGGTTCCTCAATTCTGGTGAGAGTAGCGGCTGGTCAAGATTATGACCACAATCCGGCCTCAGCTCTTGGTCTATGACTTCATGTGGCCTCTGTACTAGTCTGTAGTACAGAATTCTGTACCTATATATCGACCTTAGAGCATATAGACCTGGGGCTCTATCACGACCCTCGATATCTCGCTCAAGTCAGTATTTTTTTCGATAATTTACATAAAATTATGATTGTGCGCATGCGCAGTATAAGAATTATCGAAAAAAATACTGACTTTTGCGAGATAAAGAAAGTCGTGATAGAGCCCCTGGGCCTGGAGTAAGCTTGCTGTATCTTTAGCTCTGTACATCGACTGCGTGTGCGATGTCATCTAGTGGGCCATGGTCATTGAGATATTCCAGATCGTAGTCTTAGGCCGTGGGCACAGAGAGAGCGTAACCATTTGAGCCTATGAGAGTGAGAGAGAGGTGCGCGTACTTCACCTCTCTCTCACTCTTATGGGCTCAAACGGTTACACGATACGCGTATATAAAGCGTGACTTTTTAGTATCAGTAAATTAATGGCAAAACCAAAGACATGTAAGAAAAATAAACTGCTCTTTCTTATGTACGGCGCTGAAGCACAAGTAGAAAGAGACACAACATCGAAGGTAGATATCTGTCTCTCTTGCACATTGCCAAAGACGGGAATGTGCGTGCGAGAAAGGTACCCACGTTCGATGTTGTGTCTTTTTCTACTTGTGCTTCAGCGCCGTATACACAAGAACGAGCAGTCTATTTTTCTTATATGTCTATGGGTTAACCATTGATCACACTTAACTGATATATCAGGATTAGCAGAGTGCCCTGATAAGTCTCGTAATTCATAATTCAAGTTGCTATACATTTTATTAAGTTTAATGTATTTTTACTCAAAGAAGTTGCGAAAATTTCTGAGAGTTTTACCTGGTAAGAAGTATCTGGGCGAGTATCGCTTCTTGCCCATATTTTTCATCGGCGGAGCAGTGATCGAGTTTCTGATGATAAACTGGCATGTAGGCGAAGTAAATTTTTATAAGGTCTACAAAAAACGTAAGGTCGAGGAACTTGTTAAGCAGTGTGAACGTGAGGAGTTGCTCAAATTACAGATTAAAAAAACGTAGCTTTGTTGCGGTATGCCAGCTAGTTTGATATGGCCCAGGTACCTACTTTTCTGCTCTATAGCAGCACTGACCACCATGGCAGGCTCTGAGATTGTACATCAGTACTACAAGCCACTTGATGACCTCGAGGAATTGGTGCAACAGGCGCTTGAACAACGACGAAAAGATAAAACCTATAACTGTCGGTCCTGAAGTGAAAGCTACTTCTGCATCTGGCTTATTGCAATAGTTATGTAGTTATATTACTTGCATGTAAACTGTAACTTGACACACTTGGATTTTTGTTTAACCATTGGAAATTAAATCTGCTTTTAAATTATTAAATTGAGTTCTCTGAGTCTTCCTCCTGTGTAATTAAATCTGGATATTAAAAAAAATCAAGTTAATGTTAAGCAAGCGTAGAACATAACTTATTCATCTTAAATGCGGCATCACTCAGCTATAGAATTAAAGAAATTAGAATAGTTACTATGATGATCATAATTTAAAAAACATTTTGCAAAACATGTGCTCTCTAAAATTTTATTTTTAACTCTTCATTTCCATAAAAATTGGTAAAATAATGTTTAATTTCTTTACGTTCTATTTGTCTAACAAAACATGAGATATTGGGATCGGCCCCATAGCACTAGCGCAACTGTCCTGGGTTAAGGAGGCTCCATACCCAAATGTAGTTGTAGCTTATTTTCAAAAAATTGGACCTGGGTTAAATGATAATTTTATTAATCCAACTGCAAAACTTCAAGTACGGTTGCCAATCAAAACATTAGTAAAAGCTATTAAAAGTTCAAATTTATTGTAGGTTATGACCAGCCTCTCATGAAAGTTACTGAAATTCTCATCTGAAATTACATTATTTAGACCATAAAACACCGTTTTTCTGCACAAAAAAATAATCGAAGTACTGTTTACTATACCCTATCGATTAGTCACGAAAACAGTACAGGTTGCCTGTCATTTTGAAAAGATCTTAATATTTAAATTTTAATGTTATTTATTCATTATCAGTATGTAAAAACGTGCCACATTTAAAATGGGTTACGAAATCAGCGTAAAATAGTGACATTTGTAATTGAATACTAATAAAACAGAATTACATATATTTGCTAAAAAAATCCATGGGACAGTGGAACGAGAAATGAAAATATTGAAATTTGTACGAACTAGCTTTTTTTGTTGTTAATATTAAAATTTTTAAACAACAACGAGCTGTTTGCAACACAGTTATTTTATATCCATTTAAAAAATCGCTGTGACTATTCGAACCCTATATCCACGTACACGCATACGCCTTGCTCGCTTCGCTCGCTCGGAAAAAAAAAAAACTTGGACCCTATAAGTACCGGACAGTAGAGTTACCCACTGCGCATGCGTATCCACTATATCCACGTAATTACGTGGATATACGGTGATGCGTTTTGGTGCGAATAGACACTACGTTAAAAAATAGGGTATCTAATACTAAATGTAGTGTTGAAGGTACAAAAGTTTATTTTTTAGATAAACTGCATATACTAGCTATATCTTTTAGACTCCGAAGTTCAAAGGCAGAGTAAACAATCAGTATTTACATACTAATAGAAAACAGGGATTGTACGATTATGATATGATAAATAAATCGAGAACCGGATCCTGGGTTCGTCTGCTGAAATAGAGATCTTTTAAAGAAAGATGTGCACAGTGTATGTTACCAGTTAAGTAAACTAAAATAGCTGTTATTGTTGCATCTTTTTTTTGAAGACCTATTCTACCACTAAAGTGTTCCTTACTTATTTTCAATAAAAAGCACATAATTTTTCACGTAATTTGTGTTTTAAACTCTCGTACTCAGTTTCTTTGTCGTTGACTAAATTGGGATTAGTTGAGAATAATGGAAAAATAAAATGATAATTAATATGTTCAATCTATTTATTTATATTAAAAAAGGTAGTTAGACATGATAAAGTGTAAGTACACCTGTATCACACACGCAGAGACAGAGCTCATGCGACGCGGGCGAGGTGCACACACTTCGGCAGAGATTATAGTAGAGAGATTGCTGACTGCAATGCTACGGCGCGAGTTCACTTTTGGCCACTGTTTCGAGCGCCCCGTCGCGGCCAAGCGGTCGAACCAGGCACACATTTTTTTTTTATTTGAGAAGCGTGAAGGGGATATACCGAGTGTGTGCGTACGGATTCGCGTGGAAATGGGTATGTAGGCACATACTTTGGAGACGCGTGGAAGGGGTATACTGAATATGTGCCTACGGAGAGAGGAGTGGTGCATGGATATGCCGACTATAGCTATATAACTATATACCCGCGTATATCATAGCGAAAGAAAGCGACGAGTCTTTCTCGCTACTTATATATACTAACTTCTTAAATAAGGTCTTAGAAATTAAGGGGAAATAAAGAAAAAAAAGATTTCACATCTAATATTTATAAAATAAAAAACCTATTTTTTCATTTAACAATTCTCTATAACATATGAAAGCTTAAGAGAGGCTAGCCATATTATTTTTCGAAAATTAAATCATACAAATAAATGCTTACGCAATTGGAAGCTCAGACTTTCAAGGCATTTATTTTTTAGTTCTTCTTATACTTTGGATTTTCGTTTAGTACTGCGTATCAAAGTACGTTGAAAAAGTGTTTAGCTTGAAATGTTTTTTGAGGTTGATAGTATGGCTATAAGCACCTTAAATATAAATTATTATTTTTACTTATCATAATCGCTATGAACTGTAGGCCAAGCTCCGGAGGGTATCAATGAACATATGGGACTTTATCCACTCAGTTTTCTGACACTCTAAAAAGCTATCGTGATATGTTTCAGTATTTTCCCTGCAGGTAGAAATTTATTCGACAATATTAATTTATGTTGAGTAGCAAATTAAAAGTTTTAGTCATTTATTGCAATCTAAAGTTTTTGCACTAAAACAATCGTATAAGATATTTAAGAACAAACCAAACTACATTTATTTTTTTCAGCTACAGTAAGTATTAACATGTACATATATAAATTACAAGCTCAGATGTGTAAAACCTGTCAATGAAATCATAATATTCATCATATTAAAGTAAAATTATCCTATAAAAAAAACTCTTATGGAGTGTGCGAAAATAGGAAATGTGGTTTTTTCGTACTGTATGAAAAAAGATTTTGTTAAGAATTTAATGAAAATTATAAATTAGGGAATTGTTCTATCAATCTTATTGAAATATTAATCTTGAATGCATGAATCGAAAGAAAAAAAATTGTTTTATTCTTCAAAATGAAACTGTACAACGTATGGAGAGATTTAAAAAAATGTAATTGTTTGAATTTTCCCTAAGTAAAACTAAAATATGTGTAAGAATATTTTTTTCACCTGAATAATACAACAATCTGCTTAAAAAAATCAAGAAATCGTCAAAAGGTATGTCAACCTTAAAAAGCTATGACGATTGTTTTTCCTAAGCCATCGTAACAATATGAAAAAGTAATCCTTCTGAGTCCTAAATCATTGACATCGGTCAAAAAGTCTGAGATCACACACATGCAAGCATACGAATACGCACATAAAGATTTGTACGATCTACCAAGTATTTAGTTAGTTATCAATGTTACTATTATTCAAATTATTACCTTTAAAATTATGAATTAGCCTTGCCAGCTATAACTATTAACGTAATAAATTATTTAATAGTCAGTTGTTGCGTAGGATTCTATGTACGTGACACAGTATTAAAAATAAAATTTTTTTAACGTGCCCGAAAAAAAAGTGTTGACACTATATTCATAAATTAAAATGAAAGTTGCAATAAGAAATTGAAATAGAATACTGAATTATATTAAAAAAAAAAAAAAATCTCATGGCAATCAGAATTGAACCCCAAATCGCCAAAATATGCCGTCAAAGGCATAAGCCCTAGTCATCTCAGCTATTCAAACTTCGGACCCCATAGAACCTAAAGTCACATATGTTCATTGATACCCTCCGGAGCTTGGCCTACAGTTCATAGCGATTATGATAAGTAAAAATAATAATTTATATTTAAGGTGCTTATAGCCATACTATCAACCTCAAAAAATATTTCAAGCTAAATATTTTTTCAACGTACTTTGATACGCAGTACTAAACGAAAATCCAAAGTATAAGAAGAACTAAAAAATAAATGCCTTGAAAGTCTGAGGTTCCAATTGCGTAAACATTTATTTGTATGATTTAATTTTCGAAAAATAATATGGCTAGCCTCTCTTAAGCTTTCATATGTTATAGAGAATTGTTAAATGAAAAAATAGGTTTTTTATTTTATAAATATTAGATGTGAAATCTTTTTTTTCTTTATTTCCCCTTAATTTCTAAGACCTTATTTAAGAAGTTAGTATATATAAGTAGCGAGAAAGACTCGTCGCTTTCTTTCGCTATGATATACGCGGGTGTATAGTTATATAGCTATAGTCGGCATATCCATGCACCACTCCTCTCTCCGTAGGCACATATTCAGTATACCCCTTCCACGCGTCTCCAAAGTATGTGCCTACATACCCATTTCCACGCGAATCCGTACGCACACACTCGGTATATCCCCTTCACGCTTCTCAAATAAAAAAAAAATATGTGTGCCTGGTTCGACCGCTTGGCCGCGACGGGGCGCTCGAAACAGTGGCCAAAAGTGAACTCGCGCCGTAGCATTGCAGTCAGCAATATCTCTACTAATCTCTTACTTCGGTGGTCTCGCGCCTTCTCTGATGCCAAACAGCCAAAACGGACGCAACTCACCTAGCACAGTAGTAAATTACGTTTATTGGCTTTGAATATAAATTACACAGCCATGAGACATGGAGAATATTACATAATTTCTATGTAGTTTACATCAGGTAAATAGTATAAAACTAATCTTAAGTTACATATGTGACGGTGTGCGGTCAAATACAAATATTTGTTTTTGTAGAAACTATTCTTTAAGTAAGATACTGTTTTGCATCGGGATAACGATAATTTATACAATATTGAAAGAAGTGCGATGCACTGGTTGCAAAGTCCAAGAGTAATCTCAAATATTATGTCAATGCTTGTAACAAAATTAGAAATTATATAAATTATGTCAGGTTTCATATCACATAAAAAAGAGAGTATGGAAGAGTATGGACCATACACATTGAGATTGTATAGTTTTTTATCATGACATTTCTCTGGGGTTTTCTTGTTTTCTATCCTTGTACATAGTGGCGTGATTCTGAAGTTACGAGAGAAGGCTCTCATGGGCCGATCCCAATTACTATCCTTATGAATTACACCTATTCTATGCACTACACCTATCACTTCCGTAGAGATGTGTACTGGCATCTGGTAGACTACCAGAGCTTTATCAAATTATTCCCGATGTCTCAATCGAACTGAATTGGCGCTATCGATAGTAAGCAGCACAGTTCAGTCCGATTAGGACAGAATTTACAAGTTACGGGAAAATCAAAAAACTCTAACCCAAGCTCTTTTATCTAATAATTCGGTCACCCTAAAGTCTTTCACCCCTTAGCCCGGAAATTTCAAACCCACTAACCACACAATCCAATGTATGATGAACAATTAACCTCATTACCTGGTGCCTAAACAGTCATACATGCATTAATTAAATAATCATACGAGCACAAATCACCAGGTTACCCGGGGCACTTGCTGTCCATTTTATAAGTTACAAAATTATAATTTTTTAACAAAAGCACCCATCACCAGATAACCCGGGGCCCCTACTGGCGTCTTAATTGATTAACAAAGTATATGATTAAACAACACAAATGCCAATCACCAGGTAATTCGAAACGTTTACTGGCTACTTTATTATCCGTCCGCGACGAGCCTTCTGCTCTTTCGCCCCGTGCCTTATAAAAAACAAAGGAATGCGCAACCCCGAACGTTCCTATTTGAACGCCGTGTACGCGGCTTACGCAGAGTTTCAATAAAACCTCTGAGGTGAGGCATTTATTGGAAGCTCTGAAGCAATGAAAAGTTATAAATCAAATCAGTATTTAAAAGAAAATAATGACTGCAAGATTTAAGCGGAACATCCTCCCGCCGTACAAACTAAATGTTTTTACTAAATTCTTTTTATGCAAACTTTAAAAGTTTTCTGCTCGGTCTCTCAATTAAACCATTCGCAGTTTGAATTCTAGCAACTCGCACTTGGCCATTTGATCCCGGAAAAACCTGAAAAAATAACTCAATAAAAAATCGTCTCGTCGATACAATCGTCTAATATTTTTTTTCTTTGTTTGTTTTTTTTGTGTCTCGATATGTTTAATCCTAATCATAAGGTACTTTTTTAAAATAGTTTTAATAATATCATCACGATTTTATAAGCATTTGACGAATGCTGAATTGCAAGAATACTTTTAGGAATACTTTTATAACAAACTTGACAAAATTCCTTAAACATTCCAACTTTAGGCTTATAAAATATTCGGATGTTTTGTTCTTAAATTTTACATATCAAAACTACGTCCCTACATGGCTTAATTAAATGTCCACGATTTTTTCTATTCAATAGTTCAGAATGACTAGTTTCACTAGTAAGTATAAATAGACACTAGTCGCATCGCGTAATTTTCAACATAGATCTTATTATAAAACCTGCTAAATACTCAACAACATTATCAATGTACTTTCTATTCAGTCCTTCACCATAAAAATCAGCTGATTCTACCATAGATGGCTCAAAAATATTTATCCCCATATCAGTTGTGTCTGGACTTAACAATTCAATTGAATAATCAGAAGTTTCAATTTTATCAGTCAAAAAATTATTTTGGTTTTCATTACAGAAATCATTTATAGATGAGATATGCAAAATTTCGGTATCATCGAGCGTTATGCAATTAGCATGTTCTGATCCTTTGATATCAGCTCGAACTAGCAGTTTTTAAAAAATGTTCATAAACTGATAACAAGTTGGGTTATCGTTATATCCACCTTTACTTCTTACTGCGCTAAACAATATCTCCAGGTGGTCTTGAGACATTTTGTATGTCAACAAGAATCCTTTCCACTTTTCAAAATAATCTCTGTAAATATTAAAAACGCTTTTTAATGAGATTATAAGACCGACAAATCCGGTTTTTTTTCGCGATTTTATTACTTGCGATTCATCAGAAAAGCGCAGATCAGCAATATAATCTGTAATATTTTTTATTTTAATCTCAATATTGTTTATATTTGCCTGAGAAATTCCAATTTTTAATTCGTCACTTGAATATAATTGACGAGAATTTAGAATATCGAACGCCGTATTAATCATTGCACAAAATTTTGCTGTGCCGTCCACTTGACTACATTCAACCAAACGTAGATCATCCTTTAAAAACTGTAGAGCAACGCTAACGCTTCGACTTAATGTTTGTGCAGCTAATTTAACATTCATTTTATTTTTCTCCCATTCTAAATGTTGCTGTCTTATTTTGTTTGCTGCATGAAGTCCATTATTCTGTTGAAAATGCACTAAAAATTCTATGAAGGACCAAGAAATAATATTACCATCAGAATCAGTCATATCTTGAAGAGCAAATGAGTTCCTAATTAATTTCAGCATATGGCATCCGTCATATACTATGATGTAAATTGCTCTTTTTGTGACAGGATGTAAAAAAAATTTTTTTAAAAATGGTCCAATACATAAGTTTGCGCCTAAGTAATTGCACATAGTACAGTTAGCTAGTAATCCATCGAACGTTAGCGATGTAACTTCTACACCTGTTTTATGAACAGCAATTAAATTCTCACGAACTAGATCGGCTTTCTCCTTTGCATTCAAGGTATTTACAAAATAATAAGAAATTGGAATTTTCCATTTCCCATTTATACAAACAAGAAGAAAAACCAATACATTCGTAGCCTCGGGTACTTCACAGCTATCAACTTTCACCCCTGCGTCAATATAACCGTATTCTTTTCCATTTATTAATTCAATACCTTTCTTCAGACTCATTTCATCAAAAACAAGGTTGCATAATACTGGCTTCTCCATACTTTCTTTTTTACATAACTCTATACTTTTCTCTTCACAGCATGTATACTGCTCTTGTTAATACCCGGTGGACACTCAATATTTCTGTACCACTTAGTAATAGTAACAGGATGAGGCAAACATTTAAAAAAAGAATTCCTAATGTAATTGTACACTTTTGCAGAATAAAAATGGAGTGTCGTGGCAAAGGATTGCAAGGCAGGAGGAAATGGTGTTTTTTTTTTCCAAAGACATTAGCCGTTGTATTAGATACTTGGTTTCATCAGGTGTATGAGCCTACAGTAAACAAGATTAGATATTGCAATAAAAACCTTTAAATAAAATAAGTAAAATACAGTGTCATTAATTAATTGTATTTATTCTGCAAGTTAATGAACAAACATCGTTCTTTCAACATATATTAATCTTAATGTAGTAATTACGGTATTATGTTTGAAGAAATCTCAATTAAAAAATGTTAAAATAAACAAATAATTGAAAGAAACCGATAACATTTGATTTTATTCTTTTTCGTAGTAACAATGGTAATGATTTTTAAAAAATATATGAATGAATGATCGCTCAATAAAGTCGACGGTAGAAATTACTTAAAATTAAACAATAAACTTCATAGTAAAAATCTATAGTATTAACATGATTGTTGGTTTAAAAAAGTGAAAAATAAATTTTAGGACAATTTGTACTGTAAATAAAAATGTTATGTAAAATCTTCACTACTTACATGTAACATGTCACTTACGGTTTCAGGTAATACTTTTTGCTGTTTCATTTGTTGAAATACAGTTTTCAACGGCTGGGTCATTTTTTTTAACGATGTACCTGCATTTTTGTTTTTTTAATTGTTTTTCGTAAAGTAATCAGTTCTTTTTGGCCTTTCTTCATTAATTGCTTGATCAAATGCATATTCTGTACTGAATAATCTAAAGTGTCCAAATTTATATTGGCAAATGATTTTTTCAATAAAATGTTTGGTGAAATGTACCTATTAAAAAATGTTGTATTGATTATTGTTCAGTGAATAACTTTCATTTATCTTTTACATTAAACAATAAAGCAAATAAAGTGAAAAAAATGACATTACAGTACCTGCAATTTTGTCTATTTTCTACGAAGTTGTGATCATTTTCTACGCCATTTGAGATACCTTTATTTGTGGTAGGTTCAATGTCCTCAGAACTAATTTGGCTTGGACTAAGTACGTGACATCTTGGGACATGTTCATTTACACTTGGTATGTTATCGTTTGACAGAATTTCACTCGTGCTTCGTGTTTGAAGTTCACTAGTTCTAAATTCAAAATTAATATGATTCACAATGTGTTGATACTATTAATTATAGTTTCTCATTGAATTAGCAACTTACATATTCGCTGCTTCATTTCCAATAGCATAACTATCTTTCATGCAATTTGATTCATGCAGATTTTGATCATCTTTACTAGTTTTTGCATCAACAGTATTTTTAATAAAAATACATAATTTAGTTACAGGAATTTTACGAAAAATTATTAATAATCTAGTTGTAAAAATCTCACTCTGTGTTACAAGTATCATCGAAAAATATTGCAGGAATAGAACCTTTTTTCAACATTCGTTTTGTGCATAAGCCAGAATATTGAAAACAGTCAGTAGAAAAGTGTAAACCACAAACATATAAACTTTTTATTGGAGTCCACGTCTTAAAATTATTTGTGATAACATCACACCATTTCTTGTAAAATACTTGATCTGATGGAAATCTGCACAAAATAATAATGTATTTAAATTTGAAAGAAACAAAATATTATCATAACCTACAATTATCACTTTTTTTCAAAGTATATTTGGGAACTTACTTATGAAATGATAAATTCCGACAGTTAGGATCATCTAACCTTAAGCGTCAATTTGGTATACAACAAATTTTTGACATATAAGTCAATTAATTTGTCATTGAAAAATTAATGTTTATTTACAGTATTTACACAGCACAGAGTATATATCTCAGTGTATACCTTACATGCTCTCTTTCGACAGCTGCTTTCGGTAACTAATGAGCGTTCAGAAAGAGAGAGAAAGGTATCAACTCTTCAATACCTTTCTCTCTCGCACCCTCGCCACACTTCGGAAGCAGGCAGGCTTTCTTCAGGTCTATTCGCTACGTGCACAAGCTGAAAAAGCGATCGCAGCAATCCCTGTGCTAATATGTGCAACTAAACGATAGGTTTGTTTTCTTCTAGCAGACTGCTAAGCATTACTATCATCAGAAAGTTGTGTTTATACATCGACAACCATTCTAAGGGTTAAATTCTTAATAAAATTACGGGTAAAATGTACATATTTTACTCAGGCATGTTCATTAAAAAACGCAGTGAAATACATTGGATACTGTGTATTTCTTAGAGTTTTTAGCTGGGGTCTGATCCTCAAAGCGTATCGTATGAACGTGTGTACATACTGTGTGAACACGCCGGTATAGGGCTAACGGAGCTCTCTGATTGGTCAGAGGAGGTCTGTGTTGACTACATTGCAAACTAATAAAACATATCTCGTATCACACAGTACACACGGACATACTTAAGCGCTGATAGTGCTTGTAGTACAAATTTTGTCCTTGGTTATTTACATAGGATTGTACCACTTGAGACATTGTATTAATTCGTGATATAATAAACACAGAACCTTTCGTGTATCTATCGAGGTACTGGGTTCCTATAGGTATCAAGCACATATCGCGAATATTGCCTTCTGCTGTGGCAGACCAATAGTTCTCGTTTTTCCCTAGGATGGCGCTGCTTCAAAATTGTGCACGTAGCGAATATGCTCTAAGGAATAAATCGATTGTTAATCCTCCTCTGGCTAATCTTTTTCTGATTTTTTCAAAAACTCAAGACCCGATAACCACCTACTATTCTCTTCGAGTGCATTGCATACGAATCTAGTTCCGTCATCTGCCGAGTTTTCGTTTGAAGCTATCCAGTACCAGTTTTTAACCTCCGAATTTTTTCGAACTTCATTAATCCGATTTAAAACAAAACTTTTAAACTCACGCGGGTCTTTTCGAATCCAAGATAATACAACTTTTGAATCTAACCAGAAATACTCACAAGAAATTTATAAGTCTCTTTGCAGTTTGCGGAAATTTATGATTAAACAAAGATGCATTCAAATTTTTAATGTAAATAGCCGAACATGAAGAAACATTCCTGAGGCTCACTCGATCTATCTCTTCCTCTCTACAAAAAACGCTGTGCGTCGCAATCTTCAGGTCTAATTTTAATTTTGAAAAACATATCGCATATATCTGCTTTTATGGCATTCGTGTATTGACGAAAGCGCATTATTACTCCCGGTAAAGATTTTAGCAGAGGAGGGCCCGGAAGTAATAAATCATTGAAACTTAAAGATGAAGTTTTTGCTGCTGCATCAAATACGAGTCTAACTTTCCCTGGTTTTTACTTTTATTTTGTACACCGAAATGAGGTAAGTACCAAACTCTCCTACCCGCAGTTTTATATAGGGCATTTCAAGATAGATGTCCCAGCGTGGCGCGCGAGCGCCAAAACATTCACTTTTCAGCTCACGATTGCAACCTTATTAATGCATTGTGAAAAAATAATGAAAATACATAATCGACGTGTTTTTTTTCTCAGCTTTCCGATAATGTTATTGGTTTTTCAAAAATATGGCTGCTTAACAAAAAAAACACAATACGTCTTATATCTCAAAAAGGGTATTTTTAATATTTTTTTTAATAGTCCCAATCAAAAGATGAGATTTTTTTACGTCTGATATAATGTTTTTCGCGGTGTGGTGGAGCAATAGCTTACGAGATATAAAGCGACAAACAAGTGGCGCGCGGCATGCGGCACTGCGCGGCACCGCGTGGAACACATACATAAGGGTGCCTTTACATGGACGTCTTGAACTCTGGAGACTGCCAGCCAAATTTTGGGCAGGTGATAAACTGATACTCTAGTTTATTTTTAAAAGGGAAATAGACTCTCAATCAATTTATTACATATCAGATGGCGCAACTCAGCATTTCAAAAATAAAAACGATTTGTTTAATCTTCTCCATCGTTATGAAGGCTTTAAGATTCCTGCAGAGTGGCATTTCCATTTTACAGCACATGGCAAAGGAGCTTGCGATGGAGTTGGGGCCAATTTAAAACGAGGAGCAACGGTGCGCAAGCTTGCAAAAATCCAATTTTCGAACACTTACTGCTAAAGATTTGTAAAATTGGGCAAATAAATGCTGCAAAGAAACGCAAGTGATTTTAAGCCCTAAATTTGATCACGATACAACTGCAGAAGAATTAAAAGAGATGTTTTCAAAAGCTGTGCTAGTTCCAGGTACTTTACAGTATCATGCTTTTATACCAAATCTTGAAGGTAGACTTTTGATGAAACGATTTTCCCTTTTGACACAGACTAACATTTTTCTTAAAATAAAGAAGTTGGATGTAGAGACGGAAAATAAGAAAGGCAGAAACGTTTGTAAAAGGAAACAGTCATCTGCTTCTAAAATACCTAAGAAAAAAAAAGTTAAAGGGAGAAAACTGTATATAATAAATGTATATAAGTAAAAAAGTTGTAATTTATTGTAGGAAAATAGTTTCGACGTTTAATATTATTTATTTTCAATATCCAATGAAGTCAAACAGTAGGTGTGCTCTGCCAGCGAACGAGGTGGACCGTCCGGTGCCCCGCAGTACCGCATTAAGCCGCGCACCGCTTGTTCGTCACTTTATATCTCGTAAACTATTGCTCCATCACACCGCGAAAAACATCATATCTTACGTAAAAGAACCTCATCTTTTGATTGGGACTATTAAAAAAAAATATTTAAAATACCCTTTTTAAGATATAAGACGTTTTGTGTTTTTTTTTAGGTTAAGCAGCCATATTTTTGCAAAACCAATAACATTATCGAAAAGCTGAGAAAAAAACACGTCGATTATGTGTTTTCATTATTTTTTTACAATGCATTATGAAGTTGCAATCGTGAGATAAAAAATGAGTGTTTTGGCGCTCGCGCGCTGCGCTGAGACATCTCTCGTGAAATGCCCCATATTCTGCTTTTTTGGCGAAACCATTTGAAATAAATCTATCCATTTCCGAATAGTACATTTCCGCGTATTCCTTATTATGATAAAGTTTTTTCTCAAGTTTTAGTGTTCCATCAAGGGCATTGGATCTACTGTTAGGTAAATACTTATTTTCCGATTTTCATAAAAGACTTGTTTCTTTTTTGTGGTTAATATTTCGTCACGTACCTTTCAAAATTTCGAGCGCTCGCTTATTACTATCATTTGACTTTTTTTCTTCCAGATCGAAAAAATCAATTGTAAAGTGATTTCTTATCAAATCTTCTAAATCACTACCCTTGGCATTAGACCGTTTACATTCTTTTGAAAATTTACTAGTGACATTTACATGTTGCACTTGATCTGGGCTTAGATGACCATGAATCGACCATCCTAATAAACACCGTGAAATAGCTAAATTGACGCAAATTTTAAATAATTCTTAAATAAGGATTAAATTGCAACAATTCTGTCCTATTATCATAACAGGAGCTTCGCTGTAAGATTTGACATAAACGCCAGTTTTATTATAACAATATTCAGCAAGCTCTTTACTAACTGTTTGAATTGAAAGATTTAAACTTTTCACCACTAAAACGCTTTTTAATGAAAAATAACCTGATTTGATTTTTATTTCGAAATTTACTTTTTCACTTGATAATACGGTCGCAATATCACTTCCTAAAACTTTTAACGCTACATCAATTTTCGAACCATTCAACTTTAATTCGGTCACAACTTTAGATTCCTGAAACTTTAAATAATCCTGAAAATAAAGCTAAAAATAAAAAAAAATAGGAGTATGCGTGGCAAAAATCAATTTTCTCGTTGGTTTCTTTTTCTAAACATTACTTAAAATTTTCAAAACAACTTCTGTTTTATTTTTTTTTTAAATATAAAACTACGTACTTTAAAAAATCGTCTTTAAACAGTAAGAAGTATTTTGCTCTACCAACAGAATTTATTTCCATCAGACCGCAAAGATCCGAGTTTATGATTTCACCTACTCTTCTTGTACGATTCTCGCTCAGTGGAAATGGGCCTCGGTGCATCTTGCCAAGAGTGTATGCATCACAAAATTTATCATCGCAATCATCTTTTGTATATATATTATTGTTCTTTAAACAAACTTTTATATGCGCAAATGTTGATGGATTAAGTGTTCATGCCATAATTGCATATTGTCTGTTTTAATTTGAACCTTTTGTTCAGTAATTAGAACATTTTCTACCCGCTCAGTTTTGATTCTCATCGCAAAAATAGTTATAGTCGGTAATTTGTAACCTGTAGCTATACTTTTGTTATGTCTGTAAAACGTACATTTAGTATGAGTCGAGTTTAAACTCATGTTTTTCTGAAGAGCTGTTCCCATTGAAAATAGGTTATACCTTAAATCTGGTACATACAAAACATTCGAAAAAAATGTTCTTATCCATTTATATCCGTTATACACTAGTAAACTAATGTTACCTATCGCTTTATTATACAGAATTCGACCATCCTCCACACGCACCGGTTTGTTATCTATAGTTTTGAACGTCGCAAACCATTCCCACTTTTCGCTCATATGACAAGATGTACCAGAATCAAGAAGCCACGATGTTGCACGATCCTCTTTCTCGGTTCGCACGGCGGGCGAAGCAATCACCTCTCCCATTAGCGCATTGCGGTCTCCTTAATTTTCTGAGTCGCTGTTGTTACCACGCTATTGTTATTTTTCTTCGCGCTCATTTCCACGTAAAAGCCAACAGTTTCGTTTGAGATATCCAAATTTTCCATAATTCCAGCAAGCTTCTTGGTTCGATTAGTTCTGCGTATTTACG